TGTAGCATATCAGGCCGGTTTTTATTAGTCCATCCAGTTTTGTGCAAGTGTACCACCTACAAGCACATCTGTGGCATATCTGGACAGTCTGGTCTGGGTCTATGGGATACTCCACTTGCTCATGCACTATTATACTACATTGCCACATATATAACACATCAGGCCGGTTTTTGTTCCATACATTACTCTGGTCAGACTTGCACTATCCTGACACACTACCACCATATCCGGCCTATCTAATCATGATCTACAAAATACTCCGGCCACCTATCCGCTATTAGACCACACCACACTCAACCCACATCAATAGCTCATGAGGCTGGTCTTGTTTGTTCTGTACATCCATCTAGCCAATCTTGCATCACTTTACTGCACTGCATACATATCCAGCCTATCCAATCTTAGTTACCAAATACTGTGGCTACTCGCTTTAGAGATTTTAACATGTAGATTGCTGCTACATACAGAATCTTGCTGGTCTACAATAGTTATGGATCTCTATTGGTATGTTGAGTGGTGTATACAACACTCATCTGTGGTATTGAATGCATTATATAACATGATACATTCACAAAACACTAAAATGCATAAAACATAATCCTGTTGACATACCGCAAGCTTTTCAATATAGCCAAACTACAGCTTTTGACCCTTTGAAAGCTTTCTTGGGATATCATTGGTTGACAATCACTGCTCTTATGTGTCACACACAACACTGGCTTACCTTCGCTCCACCTTTCTATTGCTTCTATTATCCTTCTCCCACAAATATGGTTTATTGCTATTTGCCCTTCCTGATGCTGCACCTCTGGCCATCCTCATTCACTGATATGTTTTTTCCTTATGTTCTTATATATACAGGCATTGAAATAAAATTAATGCATCAGCCATCTTATTTGCTCATCTAGGTCACATATACACCTACATGAGCACATCCTGCTATGTGAATCACACTATCCCATATTATGCACTTGTAGCAAAGAGTCAGAAAAGTGTTCAATGCATATTCATCAATGCATATTCATCCATGATCAGAACACTTCTTTTGAGATCTTGTCTGATCTTGCTTCAACAGATATATATATGCTGTTGGATTATCAGAGAACACTTGGACCATCATCAATCCTTGTAGTGAAGTGTAATAATCTTCCAAAAACAAACTTTTTCACTCAAGCTGACACCCTTGTCATTTTTGTGTGTGGATAGCATGGGATATAGGGTATCCTAAAAGGTGTGGGCACATAAAGTGTGACTAACACAACAAATGTAAATCTGGTCTTTAATCCACCATCAGACCATTGAATGATATGCAACATTCAGAATATCATATCTTCTCTGGTACTTTGAAAGATTACCATATGCTATCATGTGGTTAAGGCAACATAAAAATGTTTATTAACCTGTTCAGTGTGTAATGAGACTTCCACAACTATTACAGAGTGTTTCAAATCTCTATAGCTTGCTGATAACAAACTTAACTCTGTAAAAG